ACCAGTAGCCCCATTCCTGGATTTTCAGTCCTGTGGGATTAAATCCATGGTGCAGCCAGAGCTGATGGCTGAGGGGCCCCTGATGTGACAATGAGGTCCTTCCTGGACAGCCCTTGGAGGCTGGGCTGGTTTTCCAGGAGCCTTGGGCAGCTCTAAGCTTCCTCCTGCTGAAAACTGGTCTCCCAGTGACGTGGGTGACCTCCAAACTGGTCCTGTTGCTCCTCCTGGCTGCTGGTGTGGCTGGAGGGTGTCCAGGGGGCCTCAGCCCTGCCCTGCTGGGTGGCCAGACAGGTTGGGCTGGGCACTGCTGGGCACCCTCCTGCTGTCAGGAGCAGCTGCTTGGTCACCAAACCCCCGGGAGGGAGGGACATCAGACGTCAGAGAATCACCTTTCCTTTTTTAGCTTGTTTGCGTTCTTAGTTCAGGACGTGATTGAAGGGTTACCTGTCGGTGGTTTTTGACTATGTGCAATGCAAAGGTCACAGAGGAGGTGGCAGAGGACAGGGGGAGGCAGAAACCACCCCAAATCCCTTGTGTAAACCTCCAGGAAGGTGCAGCGTGTTGGTTGGATTTTACTTCCAGCTATAAACTGGCCTTTTTATCCTGTCTCCGTTGTCCCTGGAGCACTTCCTTTGGCAGGGCAGGAACAGCTGGGGAGTGCTGTGTGGCCAGAGCAGGGTTTGCTCTGGGGTTACTCCAGCAGGGACAAACCAGGACTGGCTTTCAGTGCTGAGGTGAGCGAGGGTGGGGTGTGTTTGGTGGCAGGAAGGTCTCTGACACCCTGGGCTTTCCTCCCTCCTCCTTTGCAACTTAGGACTACCCTTGTTAGCACTGACAGGTGAGGATGGAATCACTCAGCTTCAAAAAGACCTCTGAGAGTCCAACCATCCCCCAGCACTGCCAAGGCCACCACTAACCCCTGTCCCCAAGTGCCACATCCACAGGGCTTTTAAATGCCCCCAGAGCTGGGACTCCACCCCTGGGCAGCCCTTTCTGTGACGAAATTTTTATTAATATCCAGCCTGGACCTCCCCTGGCACAACTTGAGGCTGTTCCCTCTCGTCCTGTCCCTTGTCCCCTGGGCCAGGTGGTCTTGCCTGAGCTGTCAAACACAAATCCTCAGGGTCAGGCTCTGCTGACCCCCCCTGGCATTTGCAGGTGTGGGCTCAGGAGCAACCTGAAGCCAGAAATGTTTCTTTTCCCATATTGCCTGCTGGTAACTGAACCCTTGGGCAAACAGGGTGAGCCAAGCTGCTCGTTGAACCAAACACTGCCTTGTCCATCAAAGTCTCCCGGTGACATTTACAGGGCAGGTCCCAAACAGCACTGTGCTGGCACCGGGGCACTGGCACATATTTTAACAGATCTATGCCAAGATAAGGCTGGGTGGCTTTGCAGGGAAAGGTGGCAGCTGGAAAGGGCCCAAACACCCCAGTTCCCCACTCCTGACAAGGCTCCTCTTTCCCTGCCCCAGCAAGACGTTCAGCCCTGGGGATGGGTTTTAACTGCAGGATGAGGCTTCCCAAAAATGCACCTTCTGCTCTAAAACAGAACCTTGCAGGCTGCCAGCACAGAATTATTGCCCCAGGCAAAGTAATTGTTGGATCCACCCTTAAGCCAGTGATGAGCACCTGGAGAGCTCTCCTGACTTTCTCCTCTCGGATTCTGCAGGTGGTGACAGAGGGTTTGGTGCAGAGCAGCAGGATCTGCTCTGCTGTGACCACAGGGCAGTGCTGGGTGGGGCCCTGCCACTCAAATCTCTTCTCCTGTGGGCAGTCTTTAGCAGACTTTCCTTGTTTGGAGGGATAAGGAGAGGAGAAGTTTCACACAGACTCTCAGTCGCTGGGGCTCTTCCTTTGTGTGCCAAGTCCCATCAAACCTGAGATCTGCACAGGCAGCAGGAAAGGAAGAGCTGAGTGCAAGTGTTGACCTATCATAATGAGCTCATTGTTGTGGGCTTGGAGCTGTTTGTGTCTCAAACCACAGGTTTTGCATCACTGGTGTCCCTTTATCCCTTCTGTCAGCTCTGGACCCCACCCAGCTCACCTGACTGGGCAGCAAACCTGGCACCAGAGAAAGGAGCTTTGCCCTAGGCTGGCGCTTGACCTTCATGGCTCTTTCTCCTTCTGGTTGTCCCTCCAGTCAGCTTTGGGGAACCTTCTCCAAGCTGCAGCTGTGTCCCCTGGTCCAAGGGGTTGGGCAGTGCAGCTGGGTCATGTTGTGCTTCTGGACTCTCCACTCTCACTGTGGGCATTTGGATGTGAGCACGTGGGAGATCCACTGTGGGATGCACTCACATCATGAAGGGATTTGGTGGGGTGGACATGATTACAAAGAATTAATCCAGTTTCCCTTTTAGCCCTGAATGTCTCCAAATCCTCTTTTCACAGCCTTGCAGGACATGAGGCTGCTCTGCTGAGCTGAGGGCAGACCTGGCTTTCCCCAGAGAGCACAAAGCCCCTTTGTGCTGGGTGAATGCCACAGCTCAGCTGGGACAAGCAGGGCGTGTGCCCTGCCTGCTGGGGATGGCATTGAGGAGGATTTATTTCCTCTGGTCACACCTGGCTCAGCACAGCAGGAACAGCAATTGTGCAGCCTGGTGTGACTGGAGAACACTTGAGCCCCACTCGGGGCTGCCAGGCTGGGTGGGAAGGCTCTGACTCACTTTGCCCTGGGACAAACCACGTCCCACCCACTGCAGGTTCCGTGGCCCCCCTTCCCGCCCCACCTCGGGGTGTGTGTTGGCGATCCTAAGGCAGAGCTGGGCTTCAGGTCGGGAAAAGGAGGTTGTGGGGGAAGGTGAGGCAGAGAGAGGTCTCCTGTGTAGTTGTGTTGAGCTGAAGGTGACTGTTGTTACAGGGGAGCTCCAAAATGTCCCTCCCAGACCTCCCGAGGGCAGCCTGGGCACAGCCATCCTCGGAGCAGGGTGTGGGCTGGGCAGCCTTGGGCACCTCTCCCCGCTCTGTGCTGCCTGGACAAGAGCAGATCTCCAGTTATCTCCCACTGAGGGCAGGTTTTACCAACATTCCTGCTCTGTGTTCCTGTTTCCTGCAGCTGAGAAGCCCCAGATCCAGGATCTGAAGTGTCCCAGGCCAGGTTGGACGGGGCTTGGAGCAGCCTGGGCTGGTGGGAGGTGTCCCTGCCCGTGGCAGGGGGTGGCACTGGATGATCTCCAAGGTCCCTTCCAACCCCTTAACACTCCATTATTCCATGATCTGGCTGCAGGTGGCAGAGCCCTTTGCTGCTGTCCTGGTTGGCTCTTCTTTGGACCCACACTTTGTCCAGCAGCTCCACAGCCTCTTTCCTACCTCACCCTCTGCCATGGACAACCCTCCTCTGATGCTGATCCGAAAGGTGCAAGACCCTGAGAGCTGTGGTGTTTGAAAGCTGATGGAAGGATCCCCCCCAGCTCCAGGACACCTCCTTTGGGAATCCTGGAGATGAGGCTCCTTGCTTTGGGCTCGGGGTCTCTGTGGATTGGTCCAGGCACAAAAATGATTTGTGGTGGTGAAATCACTTTCACACGCTGTGAGTCACACCAACTGCATTCACTGCTTGCTGTTGCTGTTCCAAAGCAGCTGATGAGCACATGAAGAGGGGTGAGAGGACGGGGAGTGTGGAGGGAGCCGGGTTTGGGTGGGTGGGGATGGTGAGTCAACACTGGCACAGACAGGAGCTGTAGGTGGGCATGATGGGGCAAGTCTGAGCCTGGCACAGGACTGGTCTTGCAAAGCATCAGTAAAGTGACCAAACAGAGATTTTTTTTTTTTTTTCAAATCTGAGGTGTAAAATTCCCCCTCTGTGTCCAGAGAAATTCAGAGTTACTTTGGGTTTCTTAGTGACTTGGGGGATCAGATCCAAAGGTCGGCAAAAAGAAGCCTGAAATGGGGGGGAATGTAATTTAAAATCCATCCTTTGTTGGACCCTGCAGCAGCTCTCATTTTATTCATGCAGGCTGTGTTTGCCAAGTCTGCTTTGCTGAAGTGTTGATGGGCTGAGAGCTCTTTAATAATAACAACAATATTTAGTTTTTAAGACAGAGCAGCCTGCAGGAACTGGAAAGGCTCTGAAGTTCTGTCCTGGGATTTGCAGCAAGGAAATGAAGGTTTGAGGAGGGAAAGGTGGATTGCAGTGATGGGGAGGCAGGGATCTCTCTGGATTATGATTCTGGAGCCATTGGGTGATGACATTCCTGCTCAGGGGGCTCCTGGATGTGGGTTCCTGAGCTGCTGCAGTGGGTGCTGGAGCCCACGGGCCACTTGGGTGCAGGTTCTGGGCACCTTGGCATGAGCCCAGTGTGCCACGGGCACCCCTGAGCAGGGACAGGTTCCTCAAGGAATGGAGGCAGCTGGTTGTGCCCTGGCTTTGCCTGTGCCAGTCCCAGCCTTGTCCTGTTGGATTTTAGTTCCAGTTGCTCTCCCTGAGTGGGGAGCTCTGTGTCTGAGCCTGGGGCAGAGCTCCCTGTCCAACAGCCCTAGGAGCTGGAATCTCAGGATCACGGAATATCCTGGGCTGGAAGGGACCCACAAGGACCATCCAGTCCAACTCCTGGCCCTCCTGGGACACCCCAACAATCCCACCCTGTCCGAGAGGATCATCCAAACCCTTCTGCAGCTCTGGCAGCCTTGGGGCTGTGCCCACTGCCCTGGGGAGCCTGTTCAGTGCCAACCACCCTCTGGGGGAAGAACCTTTCCCTGAGATCCACCCTGAGCCTGCCCTGGCACAACTTCATCCCAGTCCCTGTCCTGGCTGGCCAGCAGAGCAACTTCCAAGTGTTTCTCCTCAGGACAACTAGAGAAAGTAGAAATTTTTGAGAAGTTTCAACCACTTCAAGCTCCACCAAAGCAAAATGTCCCGATGCCAAACATTTCCTTGGTGGCTGGAGGAAGGTGGTCCTGGAGGAGCTCTGTCGCAGGAGCACAGGCTCAGTTTTGTTCACATCCCACGCAGGGCAGGGGGGGGAATTCACCTCTTCAGGGCTCTGATCCTGCCCCCAGGAATGACAGGCATTCACAAACAGCACACAGTGACTTGTTCTAGAAAACATTTGTGTTCTCAAGGGCTCAGAGGTGTGTCCAGGGCTCCAAATCCATCCTGCAGCGGGAGATGCAGGGCTGAGGAGATGGGACACACCCCGGTTTGCGCAGTGAAAAGGAGCCCTCTGTGCCCATGCCCTGCACTCTGGGGACAGCAGAGCCCAGGTGAGTGTCCAGGAACAGGGTTGGGCCACCTCTCCCCCTCTGCCAAGGGGAACCCTGCTCAGGACATGGATAACAATGACCTGGCTTAACTAACTCCACCTTCTCCACGGGCTCTCCCAGGCAGGGCAGACCCCCCCCAGTAGCTTTTTGTGTGTTTTGGGTCTCATTTCAGGTTTTGTGGAGGGTGTTGGAGTGTCTAAATCTGCAGGTGAGACATCACCTTTCAACTTCCCTCCTCTGAGCTTGGTTTTGCAAATAATTTGATTTTTTTTTTTTTTTTATTTTTTGCTGAAATAAGGTGACTCCTCACACTTGTGGGTGTTCTGAAGACCTTTCCAGAAATGCCTCCTTTACTCCCAGGGCTGGGATTTCTCCTTCTGCTCGGTGAGTAGGACCATGGAGTGGTGGGTGTTCCAAGAGGATTTTCCGTTCCAGAGATAATCCTCAAAGGGGAGAATTGTGCTGAAAGACTGTTGAGTGTTGCTTTGGTGGGTGCTCCAAACCCTCAGATTTTGCTTATTCTTGTTTGTTATTGGATCTGGGAAGTGAAATATTTCAGGCTTTGGTAATAAATAGTGTGGAAAGACACAACTGGAATTGATTCTCCTCCTGTGATTTCAGAGCTGTCTGCTCCCTGCTCCTGTTGTTGGAGTATCCAGGTGTCTCTGGGAATGCACTTAAGGAATAATCAGAGCTGAATCTGATTAAATCTGTTAATAGAATCAGAGAATCCTGGAATGCTTTGGGTGGGAAGGGACTTAAAAGATCATCCAGTTCTACCCCCTGCTTTGGGCAGGGACACCTTCCACTGTTCCCAGGTTGCTCCAACCTGGCCTTGGACTCTTCCAGGGATGGGGCAGCCACAGCTTCCACTGTGTGTTAAAAGTTCCATGGAACAGCTCTAAAATCACTGCATGTTGTCTTCCAGGGTGGCAAGGAACTGCTGGAGCTGCTGCTGGGACATACCTGGTAAGGCAGATTTGGGTGTTTAAAACATCTAGGAATCCCAGAATGGTTTGGGTTGGAGGGACCTTAAAGCTCATCCAGTCCCAGACAACTCCCACTAGAACCATCCTGCTGAAATCATCAGGACGGTCCATCCACTGGGCCTCACACCTGAGGGGTGGGAGCACTCCCAAACCTGGAGCTTGCCAGCTGTTTGAGGTCCAGAGCCAGTAAATTTTGGGAATTTTGCAGATGGCAAGACGGGAACTCTCTGGATGCGGGCAATTGAGGGTTTTCAGGGCACACCCCAGCCCAAATGGTTGCAGCTCACACACATTTGTCTGTGCAATGATCACAACTCCACGATAACAGCATCTCTTCTCCCCCTCTCTCCTGCTGCAGTGCTCCAGCTCCACTGTCAATGGTGAGTTTCCTCCCAAGTGACCTCCACAAGGAAGATTCACACACGGCTCTGTGTTTGTACTCCTCTCACAATTCCTTTGTCTCTGTTTTTCTCTCTTTTTTTGGGGGGATCAGAATCTGCCCTGTGTGCCTCAGTGGACAGGTATGTGACCCTCCAGCAAATTGGCTTGGCAGCATTTCCCTTGGGAGTGATCCTGGTTTTTCTGGGGAACAGGATCCCCCTGACACCAGGGGTAGGATCTCTCTCCCCCCAGAGTCCCGGGGTCACCTGTGGGCAGGGAGGGAGGGTTGGTGCTGGAATTGTTTGAACAGTGAAGGGAAAATACCTTGCTGGGTTTCTGTGTCTGTCCAGGACAAAGAAAGGCAGGGCAGTTCCCTGGTGTGTGAGCCAAGAGCCTTGGCACTGGTGCTGAGCTTATCTTGGCTCCTGCTGGGGCTTGAGGCTCAAGCAGCTCTGCTTAAATTGAACTTGGCTTATACCTGAGCGTCAACAATTCACCTGCACCCTGTTCCTGCTCCCAGGTGGGGGCAGCAGCTCATCCTCATCCCGTGTCAGTTCGTTCTGCTGTGTTTGCTATGGAGGTGATTGGGGTGGCTGCCTGGCACTGCTCCTGCCCTGGGATGGGACCTGGGAACGGCTGTCCCTGCTGAGGGGGGGACAGGCAGGCAGCAAACCCAGGTGCTCAGGGGGGTTCAGGTGCCTTTCACTGACTCTCTGGGCTTGGCAGGTGTGCCCCATGCTGTGTTTGCAGCTCTAGGGCTGATGGGGTGCCAGTTCCCCACCAGTCCTGCCCCCATCCAGTCCTGTCCCATCTCCCCATCCAGTCCTGCCCCAGCTCCCCCCTGATCCTGGGATCCTTCTGGCCCAGCTGGCACAGTGATGTCTCTGTTTCCCCCAGTGCCAGCCAGGAGAAGTTTCTGGAAGCCGCTCGTGGCCAAAGCTCCCCGTGCAGCCTCTCGTTTGGTCAATACGCCTGTGCCCAGGTAATGGCATTGCCCTGCTGTCCATGGTGCTGGGCTTGTTTTCCTTGGGAATTCTGCCCCTCAGAACAGTCCCAGGCTTGGCTGGGAGTGGAGCAGCCAAAGCCTTGTCCAGGTTTCCCTGCCAGGATGGAGAGCAAGGCTGGGATCAAACACACGGGGAGCACCCAGAGCACTGAGCTGTCACTGTGTCACCTCCCATGTGGGGCTAAACCCCCCTGGAGCCCTCTGTGGGTTGGCTCTGTGGAAGTGGGGATTCTCTTTTCCAAACCTCTCAAAGGAGAAAGTGGGACAAAGAAGTTTTCCAAAAGAAACTGGCTCTTAAAAGCTGGCATCATGGCTCTGAGACAGATCTCTGTATGACGGTCCCCCTGGTCCACTGGGGTAAAAAACCACAACAAAGGGTGGGAAAAGTACAATTAAAAGTGTGGAAAATTTCATCTGGAACATTCCAGGGTTTTTTTCTTTCTTCCCTGCTTTTGTCATTCTCTCTCAGTTGCTTTGCTGCCAGGAATTACAATTGAATTGAAAATAGTTTGTATTTGCCCCTAAATGTTTCTAATGAAGAGATGACATTTCTCCAAATGTTTTGGTGGGGGTTTTGATTGGTTCTTTTCCCACTGTTTGGCTTTTTTGGGAAGGAGAAAGTTCCCTATGGAAGTTTACGCTTCGATCAAACGGCAATATTTGGGCTTTTGGGTTTTTTTTTGGTGGGAAACCACTCAAATAAAGCTTTTAAGGCCACAGCTTCTCTGGGCAACCTGTGCCAGGGCCTGCCCACCCTCCCAGGGAAGGATTCCTTCCCCAATGCACACATGGCACCTGAAGGCCACTCCACACTGCAGCACCTCTGAACAGGACCCACCATTTACCACCTTTATTTGCATTTCCCTTTTCTCTTTCAGAGAGCTTGGCTCCAGGACCTCCAGGATGATTTCCTCATATCCTTATACTCTTGCCTTGCCTCCAAACCTGCCACTGCTCTGGATCCAGAATACTCTGCTCTGTTCTTTTCCAAATATGATGCTGAGAAGCTTTTGGCCTCCCTGACCACGTTCAGCCAGCGGGTGGGTACCACAGAGCCAGCTGTTTGATCACCCCTGAAAGGCTTTGGTTAAAATTGCCTTAGATTTTACCTTACCATTACCTTATCTTAAAAAGAGCATAATTTCAACCAGCAGATTTTGTTCATAACGTTCAGATTCACGTGGATTTATGCTGATGTTTGATCATTCACTGGGATTCCCGTGTTTCTTCTCACCCCTTGCTCTCAGTTTTCCCACGTGCCTCTGTCTCTGGAGTGGAACCTGATCTTCATCAACGGCCTGTGGGAGAAGATGCTGCAAGTGCCGGACATTGAGAGCCCTCCTGTTCTGTCCCAGTGGGTCCATGGGGGACTTCAGCCCTTCCTGGTGGAGCCCAAGGTCTTTGGTTGCCTCCATGGCAAGAATGTGTCCTGTGAGAGCTTTCAGCAGCTGTAAGTGCTCCTGTCCCTGATGGCCCAGTGTGAGCAGAGCAGTGTCACAGCACTGGGGCTGCTGGGAGGGGAAACCACACTGGGAGCTTTGAGAAAGGGTGTGATTGATACAATCAGTCCTCAATAACAGCCTTTCTGTGAGAATCCAACCCTGACTTCATCAGTGTCTGAGATGTCTGCCTTCCTTATCCACCTGTAGAGTGGCTGCCCTGGATGGACTGTACCCTGAGCTTCCAGAGGAAGAGCAGAGGAATCTTTACAGGGGGATCAAATATTATCTCACCCAGAATGGTAAATGGCTTCATTTTCTCTAGGAAATCACGGATGCTTTCAGCCCCCAGTGTGGGCTCTGACATGGGCTGAGGCTTCCCAGGGCTTTTTGTGAACCTGCAATGGAAACAGGCTGGGAATGTGACAGTGATAAGAGCTTTCAGGAATCATTTCCCTGCCTGAAGGCTTCACTGGTCCAGGACTTTTATAAACCAGCACAGTCTGACTTGTATCCCTTGTGGGTGGCATTTCCTGCTTTTGCTGGGAAAGAACAGGACAGGGTTTGGTTCTGAGAGCTGAAGAATTGGGCATTTGGATTCTGAACCTGTGGATTTGAGTGGGATGTGTGACCAGAGGCCCTAAGGGAGCTCTGCTGAGTCCTCTGACGGCCTGAAGCCTGTTCCACGCTCAGCATCTCCAAAATCCACCCATTTCCTGATTTGGTGTCTGTTTTTCTCCCTGTCTGACTGCAGAATCCAACCAGAAATGCTACAGTGAAGCCATTCCAGGGCTGAATTCCACTGCTTGGTTTAAAAATTACCTTGGATCCTTTATGGAGGGTGCCACTGTTGAGGACCTGCAGCTTTTTGGTGATGAACCAACAGTAAGTGCAGCCTCCTGGTGATGAGGAACCTCCAGTGGGCAAAGTATGCCTGGGATGCTGCTGCCCTGGGCAAAATTCGAAACCCAGAATGGTTTGGGTTGGAAGGACCTTAAAGCTCATCCCATTCCACCCCTTGCCATGGGCAGGGACACCTCCCACTGTCCCAGGTTGCTCCAAGCCCCGTCCAACCTGGCCTTGAAATTCCTGGAGATGCTGCTGGTGGGAATATTCCTCTTGTTTATTTGTGCTGAACAGTCCCTTCAATTATCTTCCTCCTCCCATCATGATTTATTCTGATAAGAGGCACTTGCACAGAAGTTGGTTTCATGTGGGTAATTCTGCACAAAGCAAACTGGAGTCAGGAAGAGGAACGACCCCAAACTTGACCCAGGTCCCAGTGTAGTACTGGAAAACCAAAATTAAACTTCCTCACAACGCTAAAAACAGGTGAAAAAACCACATATTGCTCGAAGTGAGGTTGGTTCAAAATATCAGGATTAAAGTATCCATCTAAATTATTTTTCTTTTTTTCTTTTTTTTTCACCCTCAGCTTCAAAAATTTGCCAGGGATCCAGTGAATTTGGAAATGATCAGCAACCTCACCTTGCTCCGGGAGACAGCTCTGTACTACACCTTCCTGCTGACCTCTGCTCCTGGTTTTCCATTATCCAGGTACAGGATCTGGCAGGACCTGATCTCCTATGTCATGAGAATCAGATCCAGTAGCACCCAGCTGTGGTACTGTGACTTAGCAAGATTTTGGGTGGTGGTTCTGGTGGCTGCTTTCATTAAACCTTTAAAACATTTTTTTCTGTTCCTCCAATAATTCCATTGCCCCGGGGGAGGGCCAGATCCCGAGTTCTAAACCCTGGGAGATGATCTCCGTGCAGTGCCCTTGCACGGTTTGCCAGGACTCGGCAGTGCTTTCTGAACCATCAGATAACACGAGGCAGGGAAAACACGCCCTGGGAAGGAGCATCCTCTGGGAAAAGGGGATGAAGGAGCCTCTGCCTGTCGGAATTGCAGCGTCCCCCCTCTGTGTCTCACCTGCAGCCTCCCAGCCAGGTTTGTTTGCTCCCTGAGCCCCTCGGCAGTGACCAATCTGAGCAGGGACGACGCGCTGAGCTTGGCCCGCAGGATCGGGGAGAGCTGCCCGTGGATCCCGGAGCGCAGAGGAATTCCCGGAGGGAGAGATCCCTCCTCCCTGCCGGCACGGGAGCTGCAGGTAAAGCCATCACCCGCCCAGCCCCGGGGCTTCATTCAC